TAACTTCGAATTATTTTTTAGCAATATTTTTATTAACACTTTCTGCTATGTTTGCCTGTGGTCTATACAGAACCATTTTGATATGGCATATGCCAAGTCCAGTTCAAATGTTTTCAAATATTTGGCTAACGAATTGTTTACCGTTATCGCTAATATGACTTTTATCGGTGCACCGTATTTTAAAATGTATCTGTGTAAGAATGCATCTGCGACTGTTTTGGCTGACGCGCGTTTAAGTGGAACAATTTCTGTCCATTTTGAAAAATGATCTACAATTACTAAAAGAAAACAATTTTTATTTAACTCACTCTGGGGGAAAGGACCAAGAAGATCTATGCCTAAAATTTCATTCGAAAATGTAGCGCAAATGCTATTTAAGTACCCGGCCGGGCTGTAATTAATATCATTTATTAACTGACATTGATTGCAGGACCTGACATACGCAGTTACTATTTTGTATAATTGCGGGAAATATACCGCCTCACATACCCTTTTTATAAGTCTTTCTGACCTCCTAAATGACCCGATGTTTTCGCGTCGTGTAATTCCTTTCAAAATGCTTAATCGAAGCGAAGGCTGGGATGACTGGCCGTATGCTCGAAATTTTCGTTTGTTGCTTTCTCGTATAAAACAATAAATTATCTATTATTTCATAGTTTTCTGCTCTATTTCTTATTGCATCGATATCTGTGTGTTCAAAGACTTTCGGGGTCTTTCAAAAATACGCATAGATACTTCCAAATTCAGGATCAGCCTTTCAATTCAGCAATAATTTGTTTCTCTAGAATCCTAAAATTTTTCAAAAATTTTAGATTCTAGAGAAACAAATAGTCAACACAGCGCATTTGAGTTCATTGCCTTCATTCGTCCAGTTTTATTCGAGATAGTGCGTCAAGCTAACATTGTTTTCCTTACCCGGTTTATATTTAATTATGAGGTTATACTCTTGAAGTTTTAAAGCCCATCTTATTAACCTGGGCGTTAGGTTTTTCCCCGAGTAAAGTCTACCAACAGCCGCATGATCCGAAAAGACTGTTACTGGCGCTTTGCCAAAATAAACCCGAAATTTGTATACAGCCATTAATACGGCTGTTTCTCTCTCTGTAGCTGTATAATTCCTTTGCGTAGAGTTCAAAGTTTTAATAAAAAAATGCCAAAGGATGGCCATTTTGCTTGAGAACAGCACCTACAGCATAGTCCGACGTATCTGCTGCAATTTCCAGGTTTCGTCCCTTCCGGGAATTTCAAAACAGGGGCATTGATGAGCGCTTCTTTTAACCTTTCAAATACAGTATTGCTTCTGCTGTCCACATGAATTTACTTTTCTTTCTTTTAATTACTAACAAGGGTTCAACAATATTCGCAAATCTTTTATGAACGACTGATAATAAGAACATAACCCAAGGAAAGAAGAAAGTTTCTTTGCGGTGTTGGGAGGTGGGAAATTCTTGATGGCTTTTATTTTTGAATCCTGAGTTTCTATACCCTTTTGCGAAGTTTTATAACCCAGATATTTAAGTTCTTTAGTTGCAAACTTGCATTTTGATGCATTAATTGTAAGACCGGCCTCTTTTAATAATTTAGAAACTTCTTCTAAGTCTTTAATATGTTGTTCCAACGTACTACTCGTTATAATTATATCATCTAGATAGATTAAAGTCGATTTACCTAGGACAGGCTTTAGAACAATGTCCAATGTTCTCTCTGGAATGTTGACGGGGCCCCACACAACCCAAAGGGCATGCGTAAAAATGCATAAGTGCCCGATTTTGTTATAAACGCGGTTTTATGTATGTCTTCGGGTCTCATAGCTATTTGATAGTAGCCAGACGTTAAGTCCAAAGTAGTCATGTATCTCGTAGACTTAATCTTTCTAATAATTTCCTCTATAACTGGCAAAGGGTAAACTGGGAACTTAGTAACACTATTAAGCTTTCTGTAATCGATAGCAAACCTCCAAGCCCTTTTATCCAAAGGAGGAAACTCGTTCTTTTTCCTACATAGTACGACTGGACTCGCATACTCACTATTTATGGGCGTTATATTTTGTTCTTAACATTTCTGAATGTGTTTTCAATGATTTGCTCTTCTGCTTTATCATACGGTAAGGTTAGTCCTACAGGGTTTGTCGGCAGTTAACTGTATATCATGCGTAACAATTTGACAGTACCAGGCCGTTCGAAAAAGTACTCACCACTTGCTGGATGGCTTGGCTTCATTCAAATGGCTAAGGTCGACTTGCGGTTGTTCCACTGGCTCCACCACCTCCGGTCCATTTCCAGCATAATTGCATTTTCCTGAAAATTCAGTTTGGCCTTCGCGGCTTTTAAAAACTCCATACTAAAATAAGTGGACTTGCAAATTTTTTACCACAAAAATAATACTTTAAGCTTTCATTTTTAACCTGTATTTGTAATGATAATTTGCCAATACATTGACAAGTTTGTCCTTGCGCTGCTATGATTTCTGTGTTTTTATTTTTAAATAATCGTAACCTATTAAAATTCTTCTTAAAAAAGTATCACTCATAAAATTACCTTCTGCCCCTGTATCGATGAGGGCTTCTACTGGTACATCGCCACCAGGACTTGTATAATCGGTAATTGTGAGTTCTTTACGACGACCGTATTTAGGTATCTTCTTGAGAGTTTTTTTGAAAATTCCGGGGTTTGGATTCTTGCTTTTACAGGCCCCTCTACTCGTTTAAAGCTTTCCTTTCAACTTCTGCCTTCTGGGTACGCAGACGGTTGTTTTCAAATTTCCTTTTTGGGCCTTGACCTTCGAGTTTCGATGAGTTAGCTAGATAGCTCTTTCCCACATAAGAGCAATTTGTGTTTCTGGTCTGTTCATTTGAGGATTGCCTTTGGAGACTTTGAGAATATGATGCCCTTTTAGCTTTTTCCGCTATTCTGCGATTTTCGAACTTGACCGCCAACTCGAAGAATTCCTACAATGTGCTTGGGTTTCGAATTTCGAAGTAATCTTGAACAGCAGGTAGCAATCTTGGTAAGATTATTTCAATAATCTCCGCATCGGGTTTCTTCCCATACAGCATATCCGTCAGTTTAATTTTTCACAGAATAAAGTCCGTCAACTCTTCTATATTCCGTTGATAAAAACTATATAGTTCGGCTTCTAGCTTTGCTCGGTCTTTCACTATGGGAAGGCCTTTAATAATGATTTTTTGAAATTTTCAAAGGTATATGTTTGGCCTCCGAATTCCCCTAATAAAAATTTACCTATATTCTTCCACCATAGTGAGGCCTGTCCTCTTAGTGCAGATGTGGCAATGGCAACATTTTGTCTTTCAGGCACAGGATAGAGCTGGAAATGATTTTCGAGACCTTCTAAGAATATCGCCACCGAATTTTTTCCGTCGAAATTGACGTTTGGCTTGATTGATGCTCTCATCATCTGGACCAGGTATCCAAATCCTTCCAATTGGCTCGCCATTTCTTGTTGTTGGACTTGTCCAGGAGCTTCCATCCAGTTTTTCGGCCCTTTCAGTTCGAAAAGTGTTCGGGCGCCAATGTGGGTGCGTGGCCCCAACTTGCCCGCAACATAGTAGTGACTGCTACGAACTGGAAAGTACACAAAACTCTTAAGAAGGGTTTAACTCCCTTTTTATTCCACTTTAGAAAGTTACAGATGCGTTCACTTGACGCTCACAAACTACGCCGACCGGCGGTTAAATAAAAATAAGAAAGTACAACTAAAAATGAATAATAACAAGTCCACTACCTACGAGGCTCTCTAAACGTAACTAACTTAACCACGTTCTAAGATACAGCTTTGATTTCAGCAAACTTGCTGAATAAAAAGTTGAAAGATTCAACTAACTGCCGAAGCAAGCACACAGGCCGAAACGCGCGGTTCTTAAATTTCTACCTAGCAACCTTCACGCTCGTGAATCAAGAAAGCACACCTACAAACTCGTTTTCCATTTAACTCAAAAATACTTCCGCTGAAAATTTGAATACTTTGCGCGTTCTACTAAAATTTACATACTCTGGCATTGGCAATTCCAGGGGAAAGTAAGGTTTGACAGGAAAGATAGCTTAAAATAAATGTTAGTTAAAATAAATATAAACCCTACAATTTAACAGTAATGTGTATCTGCTGAAACAGAACAAATAATTTCAGTAGTTTGGTGAACCTTGTTTGGGATACACAACCACACAATGACAGAAATAGAAAATATATTTTATCAAACTGATAACGACAGTTTAACGAAACTAGTGATCTTGAATCTAATGAAGAATTTTATAATGATATTTTAAGCGATAAAGGGGAATTTCAAAATGAAAATGCTGAATGAATATCAAACTACAAAGTGATAATGATAGTGAAGTTATTCCAAGACGTACAAGGTGCTTATCAAGCAGTAATAGTGAATCTTCTCATGAAAAATTAAATGAATGGATTTGGGAAGAAAATGTACCTGATGTAAAAGGGATTTCTGAAGTATCTGGAATCAATTCTTTGTGCCTGTGAAGGTTAGGTGATAATCCTAAAGCTAATTTAAACCTCACAATTGTACTAATCATTTATATGGAGTCAGAAGTGCTACCTGCTGCCGGTACCCTCAATAACAATGCTAATTAGTGATCTGACCATACTACATGATTTGAATCTGTTTTCATCAAAACAGTTAAAACCATCCTAAAAAATTACAATCATATAAAAGAGATAGAAAGGTCAGATGAGTAAAATTAGGGATTCTTTGGCAGCTGTGACGCAAACTAAGGACTTTTAAAGAATAAAAATCTTTTCAAAAAAACAGGTCCCCCATCAGTGTCTGAGAAGTTAAGACAGCTGAATACCAGGAGTGTAACCCAAGTTTGATCCCAGAAAAACCAGTTGACTACATACCCTAAAAAACCAGTTGACTACATAACAAAAAATAAACACAAAAACATATAATTTAGTACCAGAAATTTAAAGAACACAGGATAACTTTATTTAAACTCAATATAATAAAAATATGTCTAATATCTTACCAATTAGAAAACATGATACCACAAACCCAAAGAGCATCAGCTAAGGAAAAGTCAACAGAATGTCCGTATTTCTCACAAAAAGAAAGACCATCCACTAGCATACAAGAACACAGCAAGATTAATAAAAAAAAAATTAATTACATAAAGTTCTCTCAACAAGTTATAACAACATGACTTTAAGAAAAAAATAATTATTAATAAATTAATAAATTACAGTAATAATTGAATAATTTTAATATATTTAAGAAATCTTTGTAAATATGTTACTCATTTTAATTATCTTACCATGAAACTAAATTTAATTAAAATATTTTAAATTATTTAAATTAAAGCTATAAATAATTATGAAATTTCAATAAATTTACTGACTATTTATGAAATGTAACCATTTAATGACAAACCCTTTTTTTTTTTTTTTTTTTAACTTTACATGAATTATGTCTGTGGCTAATAATAAGAAGAAACAAGGAAAAAATATTTCAAAAATTATACTTTAAACATCAGATGACAAAATTTTAGTTGCTGAAACAAAACCAGTGTCAAAGGATAATGCTCATAGAGAATCTAAGCTACATCGCAAATACAGCGAAAGCCCAACTATCCGGCATTCATCTAACCGAAAAGTCTCAAATAACCAGAATATTTTAGAATTTTAGAAAAATTTAGTAAATGAGAGATTTGTAACTCCATTATTGAGCTCATGATGCTATTAACACATATATATTGTTACCAAACAGTACGATTTAGTGGCAATAATGGATAAGCATAGCATTACAACACAATCATAAGAAATTCTTTTCAGTTTAAATGTAAACTTCATTAATTCTCGATAAATCAGTTTAACTTTTATAAAGAAAGGTACAAATTCCCTCTCTGAAAACAAATAAACAATGATGATGTAACATGAGAAATTATGATAATCGATTTACGTTCTTTATATACTATATCAGTAATTTGTATCTCTTCATTATCTAACTAAATAGTTATCTTCTTTTAAACTTCCTGGCAGACATGATTGGCAACATGTCTGCTAAATTTCATATTCAGTGGGAGTCCACATCAATCAAAATATGTCACCTTTTACTATTGAAATGTCTGCCCCTCTTCTGAAACTGTAGCTAATTTTAAATGTAGGATCTTGATCTTCAAGTCGCTAATAAATAGGATGACTGTTTTTATAATTTTAGAGAAATTTTCCCCATTGATTTAGCTTTTCTAACATGATTTTTGATTTTTATGCGGAATTTGTCATTTCCTGAACTTTTCAGATAGTCGAGCTTTTCTGTACCTAAGATGTCAACATGGAACAGCATGTTCACGCTTTTTTCACATCTGGAGAAGTAACAAAAAATATTCAGTACTTTCTGATTATCTTAACCCCCTTCCAAAAGATCACCAACGTTGGTAACTAATTTTTTGCCAAGTTAATACATGAAAGGCAACAGCCATTTAAAAAAAGGTAGTATATTTAAGAATTCCATAAAAGAGGAACAAAAAAAATGAATAAAATTAGAAAGGCAAGAAAAATTCATAACACACACTTTTTTCAAAAAACTCCTATAGAAATCTTTTGCATTGTTGTTTTTCCCATGTATACAATGATCTATTTTTGCTTTAAAAAATTACAGAATTGTAAATTTTGCATGCTGTTGTTCTCCCCATGTGCAGAGTGATCTTTCACTTATATAAGGAAATAGTACAGTGATCTGTTTTCACTTATTAAAAAATATAACCGAACAGCACAACTCCAATCCATAAAATCCAATCATTCAAGAAATACAGCTTCATGAAATGCAAATTTTTGTATTCTATACTCTTGAACAAAACACCGTATTTCTGAAGAAATGTGATGCTTTCTCATCAGCTGGCGAACTCAACAGACAATTCGTTACAACGGGGTAGGGAAAATCTTACTCAATGAACAAGAAAAATGAAAGTCAAATTTGACGGTGGTATTGCAATCTTGTCTACTGCATACACATGCATACTCAACTACATAAATACATTTTGATAATTTCATGAGTTACCTATTTAGGCAACATAGTGTATTGCCTCAATATTTTCAGGGTGCGTGCAGGTAATCAGAAAGAACCAAATATTCTTATTCATATATAACTAACTAGCTAAAACTACTCAGATATATACAGGGTGATTCTAAATTGCTTTTATAAATTAAGAGGGGTGATAGTAACCATCCAGATGAGGAATAATTATCATAGAACATATAGGCCCATTTCACTCTGACAGGCAGAAAAGAGGATATGAGAATTCCAACCCGAACTTACAACAGTGTTGAGAGAGGGAATGAACGAGACCAAAAGTAGAGCAATCAGTTTAGTGAAAAACTCAAAAGAGAGTGCACAAAAACAGATAAAACCAAAAACTTGGCATTTGAATGTTAATTCGAGCTCAGACTTTGATGGCAAACATTCAAATGCATATCTTTGGTTTGCAAAGTCTCAATCTCGCAAATGATTGCTCTAATCATATTACCAACTAACTCCCACTCAAGGTAGGTTTAATGCTATTGAGGTAGCAGTTTTTTCTCCTTAGCCATGTTCTATCCTGTCCTCCTGGACTGTGCTCATTTTACTTTAAGTGTTCTTCTATGGAATACGAAGTTTTGACAGCCGGAACACATCATGAACTTTTCATTCTAATCTTGGCATATAGCGGAAGTTGGAGTTAGTTGATAATATTGACCTTGATTAGATAATTAACCTGCTGCAATCCTCTGCAAGGTTGAGACCTTGTGAACCAAAAATGTGCATTTGAGTGTTTGCCATCAAAGTCCGAGCTCGAATTAACACTCGAACACCAAGTTCTCTGGTTTTATCCGTTTTGTGCACTCTCTGAGAACTTTTACTAAACTGATTGCCTAACTTTTCGTCTCATTCATTAGCTCACCCAACACTGTTGTAAGTTCAGGTTGGAATTCTAATATTCCTCTTTTCTGCCTCTCAGAGTGAAATGCAAGCCTAAGTTCTATGGTAATTATTGCTCATCTGGATGAGTACTATCACCCCTCTTAATTTATAAAAGTAATTTAGAATCTCGCTGAATACACAGACAATATTTGAGATGCAATCTCTGGCTCTGTTATGCTAAATAGCTAACAGGAAAAATGCTAGTTAAAATTTCTGATTTAACAAATTCTGAATTAACAGTGGAAACATATACATAATATTTACTTTGAATATTAGAAAGCTGTATCAAGCCATGCACTCAATCATTTTCACTGGATTCTGAGTTCAAAAATTAAAATATTTAACTACAAAAATTTACCCTTGGATATTTAATTCTTTCAATTGTTTTTCATGAAAAATTAAGTAACAAAACTTTTGGTGCTAAATAAATAATATTAACACCTCCTTTATACATCAATTTTAAAAAAAAGCCAATTTGCATCTGATACAAGTTTAAACAAGGCACATATCAAAAGATTTTGGAAATGCATAATTTAAATCAGAAATTTAATTGTAAATTTACTTAAATAAATACTTGGTGTAAAATTAATTTTATAAATATATCAAGGCTTTTTACTGTAACTCTATTACATGCTAAACTAATTCAAATTTAGAAGTGCAGTTTGGATTGTCAACTTGAATGTAATCTTACAGCTCATTAATTCTTCTGTCTCGAGTACTTTTTCAGCTCCAGGTTCACTAAGGTCTTGAAACATATAAATATGTTGGAAATCTGTATTATTTCGTGTGTTTCTTGTTTGTTCCTGCAAAATGTCAACATATCACCATAACATCATTAACTTTAATTTCTAATTTTAAGACATAGAACAATGTGAAAGTATTAAATAAGTAACAGACGAAATGACAGCATCATGTGCAAAGCAAGTAAAATGAATGTTTATATTATAAAAAGAATGCATCGAAATGTTTTAGTTTTTCTTTGTCTGTATTGTCTTGTCTTTATTTATTTTCAGATACATTGTGTAAAAATATTTGGTAGTTGTAAAATTATTATATAATAAGAAATATCAAAACCGCTAACATTTTTGGTGACCTCCTGCTGCAGGTGCTGCGACTCCCATTAGTGGTCACTACTCACAGTTTAAGAAACTCTGCTATAAATTACTTCATAATATAACCCTAACTTGTAACATCAGTATCCTACATCATGAGTGCTACAGTACATTACGAGAACAGCAGCAGTATGTAGTAGCAATTCATATGATGCAAAAGCAAATATGTAAAAAACTATGTGATACTTTAAATTTGATGTTCTATATCATCTCTTATTATATATATATATTTAATAAAGAATATGAAATGTCGGAAACCATATTATTATCATGAAAACCAACAGATTAACATGCCTAACCCTATATCATATATGACTACTTGGTGCATTAATTAAATCTCACTTTAAAAGCTGTAGGTTATTTTATAAATTGGTACTTTTCCGTTTTGCCAGCACAAACGAAAAAGTCGCCAATAATGGTACAGCTGATGCCAAACAGAATATCTTGGCTGGTAACCTTTTACGCCTCATTTTCAACAACAGTCGCAGCTATTTCTTATCCAGACCGATTGTTTTCTTTCAATACTGGCATACAATTACATAGAATATTTACAAAGATAATTAAATTTGGTACTATTCGGTTTCGAGGGCCGTAAAAAATCGCCAAACTATTGTTGATGCCAATACTGCCAAAAATAATTGCGGCAACCCTAATAATTGAGGCAAGAAAGGAAGTACAATAGTAAATAACTATCTAAGAATGATGTTTTAATTTAGATGAAAGGTTAATTTCATATGATACTTTTTTATTATTATAATTTATATGAAAAAGGCTAAACATAACTGAACAGAAGCATAAGAGTAAATAACTATTTCAGATCATTATTATAATTTATATAAAAATTGCTAAACATAACTGAATGGATGCCTGCATCGCTATTTCGCTACCAACTTATCGCTAAAGCATAATTTCATCTCGTTGGTTGTTCAAACACAATTTTCTATAATGAATGATGTCTTTTCTTTTGAAAATATTCAGAATCGGAATTCAGAAGTGCAGAATCACTCACTTATTTGTTTGCCGCTTTTTACAAGGGTAAAAACAATTGGATTTTTGTCAATTTTATTTTACTTTTTAAATGAAAATAGGTCGATGTGTACGTAGGTAAAGTTAAGGGGGTGCGCAGTGCCATTTTTGTACAATTCTGGGATTTTTTTTTTTTTAAAGTGAAAATAGGTTGATGTGCACATGGACACAGAGTATGTGCAATTCTTAAAAACGCGTCAAGCAGTGAGTAATTCTGCACTTTACCCAAAATTCTATTGCCGACTTTTCATCATGGGCAATTCCCAAATTGTTAAATCCATAGGATATCAAAAAAGGATTTAAAAATTAAACTAGTATTTCAATGGCATCTTAAGAAATATAAAACTATATAAACTTACGCAATCTGAAACCAGCATGTACACTAGATTTGGTGCGCTGTTTTAAATGGGTGCGTTTGCTAGATTTGCCGCTTTTGCACATACATTTTCGCTGCAATTTTTTTACCCCCCTCAAAACAGAAGAGTACCTTAAATTTTAAGCCCTAAGACTATTCGCGGTAATTAAGTCAATTAGGATGCAATCACACCGCTCACCCGAAGACGAAAATATAGAAAAGGCAAAATCAAGGATTAAATTCATCAATTCTAATGAGAATGCACTAGCGAAATAAAGCACTGCGGTTTTACATAATGAGTAAGCTATTCATACAAATTGAAATAATTCTTGCAGTTAAACTTGTATGAAATTAATGTAGATAATTACTGAGAGAATTATATTTTTGTAGCGTAGTTTACGTGATATGAGATCACTTGGGGGTCACATGACACGAACCGGCGAATCAGGATGTTGAACCATGACAGCATAGTAAATTCTTAAATTCATGTCTTTTTACAGATTTAATGTCTTTATTTATTGGCTTTTTACAAAATTTTAATGTTTATTCTTCAAAATAAAAAATTCTTAGAACTAACATTTGTTAACAATTTTTATGTGTATATTGTATGTTGTCGCCAACAAAGTCTGCTTAGCGAGATTTGCGCCGGTGAAACGGAAAAGTACCTATAAATCAAATAAAACATATCGAATAAAAGAATGAAAAAGATTTTACAAAAGAATACTTACGGTACCAAATAAAACTATTCCTATTAAATCTTTACTGCTGGATATGATTTTATTCGTCAAAGTAGTACGTGCACACTAACAAAAATAAGAAAAGATTATCACTACACTTAATATAAATATGCTATTCAAATAGATTAACTATAAATATTTTAAACTACTTAAAGCAAAGATAACTCAAGCACATTTGAATTTTATAACCATAATAATCCAGTAAGCTGACATTTAACTTTTTGCTGCATCGCTTTATAGCATTCAATCTTATATCAGTTAGCGACTTTTGTTCCAATTTTAAATTCATTACTTTGAACTATGACTCCCATTTTAAATAAATGATCTACAAAACATTTATTTTATGATTTCAATATCAGTCTTATAAACTGTAGATTATGTAAAACAATATATCAAATAACATAATAGATACTCTAGTTATTGACTGATTGTAATTTATGGATAGACTGCTATAAATACCCTACGAAATACATATTTTTATTTATGTACAAAATATGCTACTTTCCAAAAGTTAAGCCTGCAACAGTGAGTTTTACATAATGCAAAAAATGCTTTTGATTAACTTCAAATTTCAAGAGGCAGTCAATCAAGTTACTCATTAATACAAAATAAGCAAAGCATATTTAGGCTTATTTTTAGTGCTGAGTAATAATATGTTAAATGGGTTAACCCATTTATGCCTAATTAATAATGGGTTCATAAATAGGCCAAATTCTTACTTCCTTTTTGGCATATTCAAGAAAAAGTTTTGCGCACAAACAAGTTTCATATGAACTGCAACATTCTCCAACACAAGCTTCACAGAAATGTTTTATTCCTTCTGCAGTGGATTCAGAAAAACAGAGAGTAATCCAAGAATTACAGACAAACTGCCATTTTTCGGTGCATGTTCCTTGCTCTCTCCATACCTTTATAAATTTAATTCGCAGTAAACCTTGACTCAGCCATACAGAACAGTTTAAACCGCTAAACTCCTGTTCACATAGCATCCTGCTGATATCTCTTTAAATATACCCATTAGCCTTAGTGATGATGGGAACACAAATTTAATAGTGGCACACAGTTATATGCTAATTAACCTTTAGCTAGAACACACTGAAAAATTAACTGGCATACACAATTAAGATGAAGTTAAAAAACAAGATATAATATTCTAACATAGTAAAACTCTGTTCAAACATAAATAAACGTACATGAACTTTTGCAGATGACCTATCCACTTTGTTAGCTGGAGCTAAAGTTGATTGTTTGATACGTTTACTGTCTTTTGTTATTCTATTCAGGGTTGCTGTCAAGTGGTTGGTGGTAGGGAAATAGGGGTAGGAGACCAGGGTATTCTCTCTTAAAATTGAGACACAGCTACTCGGTCAATGCAGTGAAACTGTACCTGTGTATTCTATGGTGAAATTCTGGTATCCTGCCCACTTATATCTGTATCTGTACTCAATAAATATCCAGATGTGCAAATAGCTGATAAGAAGGCATATGTTGCAATATGGCTTTATATTTATTCGGTTTGTTTTGGAGAAAGAAACACAAAAAATTTGCAATGCTCTCACCAGGATTCGAAATTTGGACCTTCTGATACCTAGTTAAGCATTCTTTCCAATTACACCAAAAAGGCACTTGGGGAGAAAATGCCTTATGTACTCCTCCTCTTAACTCTTTCAGGATGTGCACGTCATATACGCATCGACTGTCAACTGTATCTCAGAGTTAGGTGTGTCATATATGAATGGTCATTTAAATTGACTCTTACAATGAGTGTACCACATATGAATTTTTAGACAGAATATTTAATTAGTATTTTTTTCTTGTGATGGATTACTAGCCTTTATACTGTCTATCATTCAGCTATGACTCAGAAGTTGAAAGCTGGAATCTATTCGTGAAATCTAACACAATTATACCAAGGTATAATGTTCTATGTTATGAACAGCTTCCCACATTGCCTCAAGCAATGAAACTGCATGAGCAAACAATATTTATCAGGTATTATTCATCAAGATGAACTGGCATACATGTGAAATAAAGTTTTAAAGTAAAATTGCTACAATTTTTATGTCTTTTATTTGTCACCAGAAATTAGTAAATACACAATACATATCTCCTTTTATTTATAAAAGCATGACATACACTACCCAAACAATAAACATGCAAACTGAAGTTTTAAGTAAACTACACATTTATTTACGTTCGATATTCTTCATAAGCCACAGTGGTGTAGACAAGAATAGTCAGTTTGAATCGTATTATTGGTCTAAATTTTAGTGGCATAAAATTTCTCTGAATTGGTTTTTATTTGTTTGAATAAAGATAATATCAAAATATATGAAACATAACTTTATAAACATAACTATATGAAACATAACTTTAAAAAAAATAAAATATAATTATTTCAAATATTCATTATAGTTTATATTCTGCACCGAATTCTTTACAAAAACATTTTCAAAACTATTCAATTAACGTAATTATAATTAAATATGTTTATGAAATTACCTTTAAACTCAGCTGAAATGGAGTTTCTTCTTCATTAACTTGAAACATTTCCCATGTTGCATCAACTAAAAAGATTACTGCATCTCGTCCGTGATTAAATCCTTTCTAAAATTTTCAAATTAGAAAATCAGAAACTAGAACTAAACATAGCTAAACCAGATGTACAGAATAATAATAAAATAAAAATGAGACTTATTTTATAAAGATTTTGTTTAGCACAGTAAACGGTTTGATAGTTAATAAAACAAGAATAAATAAATAAATAAAAAAGATGGCTAATCTTTGGAATATGGTAACAGGTAGTTTGGCCACATTTTGGAGTCGATAAAGGTTACTACCTAGGACTTTGGGAATAATGTGAGAAGTACTCAGTTCCGATTACGCATTATTTTGTGTGAGGGAAATGAGAGATCATGAGATATGTCATGTGACATTAATGGACGAATTACAGTTCTTTAATCGGAAAAGGGGGGAAATCTGGAAAAAATCTGGCAATTTTGTATTTAGCTTTATTCTGTGTTGTGTGAAACAGTGTTGGTTAATTTTTGGATCCCATGGCCCTATCTAAAGTGAATTCGAAATGGGTATTTAGTGGGATTGAAAGGGGTAGTAATAAGTGTTTTTTTAAGGTTGTGCGAGATAGAAGTAAAGATTGCTTATTAAGTTTTATTAAAACTGTTTGGAGGATGAAGGTTTTCAACATCTTGCTGTGAATTATAAGTATGATTTTAAAGATCCTGAAACAGGCGCACATACGATTGCTTTTTATTTAGCGGAGGAAATAAGAAAAGTTTATCCGCCAGGTAATCAAGATTTGAAGAAGATTAGGTAAGTTAGTATTTTTAATTATTGAGGATATTATTTTTATATATTTTTATGCATTGTTCTAAATGTAAGGAGTAAATAAAGTAATATGGTATTATTGGAAAATTGTTATTAGCAATGATTTAGTTTAAAGTAATTAGGATTGTAAGCTAATTTTCATTAATTTAATGTATGTGCTTATTTATATTTTAAGTAGTGTTTTTTAATTTAATTATATTTTAATTAAATGATAGTTATTTTGTGAATTATATGTTTGTAGGAATTTGGTATACATTTCAGTGGAAGTAAACGTGCATGGCAATAATTTAAGTATTTGCAACTATTTTTAATGTTTGCGTTATGAATTTGTTGGTGACGTTTATAATAGATAATTTAGAGGTAAAAGCTTTTGGATATTTTATTTATTTTATACATGCAAATGTTCATCCTTGGAAAGCGTATATACTTTTTCATGATCAGGTAATTTCATATATGTCCTTTTTACCGGATTTAAAGATTCACAAAATTTTCATGCATTTTCGTGAAATTTTTCTAATTTATGAGAAAAAAAGCAGTGTACATGGATATAGTGAAGAGTGTGTGCAATGCCATTTTTGTGCAATTCTGGGATGTTTTTTTTAAGTAAAAATAAATCGACGTGTACATGGTTTAGTTACATTTTAATTAAATGATAGTTATTTTGTGAATTTTATGTTTGTAGCAATTTGGTATATGTTTCAGTTGAAGTAAACGTGCAAGGAAATAATTTAAATATTTGACACTAAGTATTTGTAACCATTTTTTAATGTTTTTGGTATAAATTCGTTGGTGACGTTTATAATATAATAGATAATTTAGAAGTTTTTGGATATTTTATTTATTTTATAGATGGAAATGTTCATCCTTGGAAAGGGTATATACTTTTTCGGGATCAAGTAATTTCATATATGTGCTTTTTACCGAGTTTAAAGATTCACAAAATTTTCCTGCATTTTCGTGCAAATTTTTGTAATTTATGAGAAAATAGCAGTGTAGATGGATAAAGTTAAGAGTGGGTGCAATGCCATTTTTTGTGCAATTCTGGGATTTTTTTAATAAAAATAAGTTGACGTGTACATGGTTTACGTGTATGTGCGATTTTGAAAAACGCGGCAAGGAGTTTGCGATTCTGCACTTTTTCCCAATTTTGCAGTTAATATTTATCATGATTAAGCAGTTTTGTTCCATATAATTTCTAGCATAAGTGTAATTCGGATAGCAGATTGTTGGAAAAAGTGTTCAGTAAATAAAAAGAAACATGTCTTTACTTCGTGAAGACAAAATGGTGGCGAAAAAAAAATAGAGGGTTGCTGTAGCAGAGTTGGTCGCCAAATTTTCGCCAAAAAATCGCCAAGTTACCATAATCCAAAGATTAACCAAAAAGACTAATATCTCATTTGTAACACTACCTCAGAAATGTGCAGTTATACAGCTTATCTGTAACCATTATTTAACACTGAAAATCTTCAAAATTGTATCTGGTAACTTTTCATTTTAATTGGTAATCATATTTAGCAATGTTTCTTAGTTTGGCATCAAAGCCTTTGTAAAATGCTATTGCTAATGGAAAAATACTTTTCTGATTATCCTCACCTCTGCCGAAAAGTCAGAAAACAATATTCATGAGGCAAAAGTCACTAAAATAGTCATGTGGCAATCCACCATGGCATCCAAAAGTATTTATACAGCAAACCATGTCTCTCTTGGCTGGTGTGCAATGTCAAATGGCATGGATGCCGAGTTTGTGCAGTCTCTGATTTTTTTAAATGAAAACAGATCACTGTTGTACAGAAAGAGCAGCAGTGCAAAAAAGAAAGATTTCTATAAAAAGTAGCTGTTATATTACCAATGTTTCTTCCTATTTTAATTTAATTGCTCATGTGGAATTCTTAGTGTGTCACCATTTTGAAAACGGCAGTTGCTTTTGTGTTTTATCTTTGTGAAAAATTAGTATTCATCAATGAGGTCATGAATGCCATTCAAAGTCAACAATAAGTGTGCAACTTTTCAATGGGTAATGTGGATAAACAGAAGGTAGAAAAAATTTTAGTATTATCTATTTTATACCTTGACCAGAGTTGGATTAACCATTAAGCAATATAAGCATGTACTTAAAGGCATCAAGGAAAGGGAACACCACAAACAGATGCTAAGTATTCACGAAAGAGGCACCAAAAATTTTCCCACTACCGATTTTACATGGGATGCATGATGAAGCTAAATCAAAAAACAGAAGGAACAAATTTTAAAAATGCTTAAGTATATCTAGGGGCATCAAAATCTTTTAATTGCTTAGGGCTTCTAAAAATTCTTGGGTAAAGTTTACAATTGGGTGCCCCATGTTTTTTGGCGATTCTTTTTTGACGCCAAGATCGGCGCCAGGAAGACACAATTTCAAGATGGCCGCTACACAAAACCAAAATAAGAAGTCAAAGAATTGCATAAACTCTGTGTCCATGTACACATCGATCTGTTTTCACTTAAAAAACATCCCAGAATAGCACAAACTAGGCATTGTGCACTGCTTTAAATTTGACCATGTACACATCAATCTATTTTTATTTAAAAATAATCAGGAGGCTAAAGCAAAGTTAAACTATCATGGTAACCAGAAATGAGATTTCATAGCCAAAATTTTACAAAAAATTGTCGCTAATCGAAGGGGCACCCAATTCTACACTAGAGCTAATTCTTGATCCAAGCTTGATCTTGACACGCTGTAAAAGTAAAGATCATAAACTTTGAAGAAAAATTAAGGGTTGATCTTTACAATATGGTAACTGGTAGTTTGGCGACATTTTGGAGGCGATAAAGGTTACTACCGGGGACTTTGGTAATAATGTGAGCAGTACTCAGTTCCGATTACGCATTATTTTGTGTGGGGGAAATGAGAGATCATGGGATATGTCGTGATATTAATGGACGAATTACGGTTCTTTAATCGGAAAAGGGGGGAATTTGGACAAGTATCTGTGGATGTATATTATTTTGTATTAAGCTTCATTGTGTGTTGTGTGAAGTAGGGTTGAATAATTTTGGGATTGTATGGCTCTGTCTAAAGTGAATTGTAGATGCGATAAAGAGAATTTTTTTTTTTATCAAATTCTATCAAATTCGGAAAAAAAATCGTTCAGTAATTTTATTGAATCCATAATAAAAGTGTATCCACCATGTAAGGAAGATTCGGAAGAAGATTAGGTTAGACTTTGTTAAGAATGTGAGTAGTATTCAATTCTGATTACGCATTATTTTGTGTGAGGGAAATGAGAGATCATGGGATATGTCATGTGATATTAATGGACGAATTACTGTTCTTTAATCGGGGAAAAAAATCTGGCAATTTTGTATTTGGCTTTATTCTGTGTTGTGTGAATAGTGTTTGTGAATTTTTGGATCCCATGGCCGTAACTAAAGTGAATTCGAAATGGTATTTAGTGGTATTGAAAAGGATAGTAATAAATGTTTTTTAAGGTTGTGCAAGAGAGAAATAAAGATGTTTTATTATGTTATTTATTTTACCTGGTATCTTGCTTGAAAGATAAGTATGATTTTAAAGATTCTGAAACAGAAGGAAGAAAAGTGTATCCGCCACGTAATCAAGATTCTGAAGAAGATTAGGTAAGTTAGTATTTTTAATTATTTGAGGATATTATTTTATGCATTGTTGTAAATGTAAGGTGAAAGGAATTTGGTATTATTATTGGAAAATTGTTATTAGCAATGATTTAGTTTAAAGTAATTACGATTGTAAGGTAATTTTATTAATTTAATGTATGTGCTCATTTATATTTTAAGTAGTGTTTTTGAATTTAATTATATTTTAATGAAATGATAGTTATTTTGTGAATTTTATGTTTGTAGGAATTTGGTATACGTTTAAGTTGAATAAACGTGCATGGAAATAATTTAAATATTTGATATTAAGTATTTGTAATACTTGAGGTATGAATTCGTTGGTGACGTGTATAATGTCATAGATGATTTAGAGGTAAAAGTTTTGGATATTCTATTTATTTTATATGTGGAAATGTTGATATTTGTAAAGGGTAAATACTTTTTCGCGATCATGTAATTTCATATATGTTCTTTTTACCGGGTTTAAAGATTGAGAAAATTGTCATGTATTTTCGTGAAATTTTTTTAATTTATGAGAAAAAAGCAGTGTACATGGATATAGTGAAGAGTGTGCGCAATGCCATTTTTGTGCAATTCTGGGATGTTTTTTTAAGTAAAAATAATTCGGCGTGTACATGGTTTATGTGTATGTGTTATTTTGAAAAATGCGTAAGGAGGATGGTATTGTGCAGTTTTTCCTAATTTTGCAGTGAATATTTGTCATGATTAAGCAGTTTTGTTTGATAAAATTTCTAGCATAAGTGTAATTCGGCTAGTAGATTGTTGGAAGAAGTGTTCAGGAGATAAAAAGAAAAGAAACATATCTTTACTTCGTGAAGACAAAATAGCGGCGGGGAAAAAAAAATAGAGGGTTGCTGTAGGAGAGTTGGTCGCCAAATTTTCACCAAAAAATCGCCAAGTTACCATAATGTAAAGATCAACCAAATTAAGTACTAGGATTCCTTCTTAAGTTATTACACACTCCTTTAGCTTTGTATAAGGTATTCCAAAAGCTGCCAAAACAGAATATGCTAATATATAAATGACTATTTATTAAATATAATTTGTTACAAAAGTATGCAGTTCTTTTAATAATGAATTAAAGAAGTTAGTTTGTTTTAATCATAAAAATAAACTAATAATTTTTCGGTTAATCTTCGGATTATGGTAACTTGGCGATTTTTTGGCGAACATTTTGCGATCAACCGAGCTACAGCAACCTGCTAGTTTTGTTTTGGACTCCATTTTGTTTTCACAAAGTAAAGGCATGTTTTTTTTTTTTTTTTTTTAACTCAACATTTTTTTCCAACAATCTGCTAGCCGAATTACGCCTATGCTAGAACTTTTATGGAACAAACATGCTTAATCATGACGAAGATTATGTGCAAAATTATGAGAAAGTGCAGAATCGGTCACTGCTTGCCGCGTTTTTAAGAATTGCACATACACGGTATCATCCATGTACACGTCGACCTATTTTCACTTTAAAAAAAAAATCCCAGAATTGCACAAAAAATGGCATTGCGCACACTCTTGACTTTATCCATGTACACTGCTAAAGTCCTAGCTAGTAACCTTATCGCCTTACCAAAATGTCGCCAAACTACCTGTTACCATATTCCAAAGATTAGCCTGTACCTTGCTAAAGTCCTAGCTAGTAACCTTTATCGCCTTACCAAAATGTCGCCAAACTACCTGTTACCATATTCCAAAGATTAGCCAATTTTTCAATTGCAAAGCTTTAGAAAACACACACATGAAAATATATAATTTTTTTTTAACAAGAGAAGGAACAGAATTTGAAAATAACATGCACACTCACTGTAAAAAAACTGCGCAAGAAAAAGTGGTAAAATGAGTAGGTTAAATTATAATTGTTTACAATAGATACCATTCAAACTGGTTACTATCAGTTCCAATTTATATTTGTACTGTTAGCAATTTCTACAGTTTACTACCAGATGGCGTCATAACCATTCAAAAGCAATTGCAATGATGCAAACATGAGAGATTAGATGTAACCATGGCAACAGACAATTTTAATTACTCATGCACTTTTTAAAAATCAATAAAATAGAGTATTTTAATGTTGTTGGTTGTGAATTTCTGTCCTGATTAATAATTAAAAAATGATACACACACTGGCTAAAAATATAAGAGAAAAGTAAAAAACACTAACAATATTTCGGACAAAACATATTCTTTTCGAGATATAGTAACATGTAACGAGGTTACATGAGGAGCCTACTTTTACGGAAAGAAGTAACAAAAGTCTCAGAAATATGGTTAAGTTTGTAAAAAAAACTGTAGGAAGAAATAATTTAAACTTACATCATATGTATTTTCATCATCATCCTCATCTGGAATAGGATCTTCCCATGTTGGATTCATTATAAACCCTATTAAAGAAATTAATTTGCTTATATATAATAATAATGAAGCACAATTATTATGAAAGAACTTTACTAACACATCATTTGGGTTTTCATCTGCAGAGAACCCGTTGGCGCCATTGCATTCTTACTCGCCAAGCTCGCGGTTCATCGACGATGAGCCAAGCTGTAAACGTGATATTTTGTAAACGTGATTTTTAGTGCATGTAAATTCAAGTTAGCAGATAAAACAATATATTAAGCATATGGTAGTAAAAATTCACAGATAATATGCATGTAAATGTAAAACTAAATGGTTAAACGTGATATACGAAAATAAATTTGTATTAAATTCAAGTTAGCACAGAAAAGAATATATTATTAAGCATAAGACAATATATCAGCATTTATAATGAAAATAAAAATTCATTTAAAAAATATAAATTAATATTAATATACTGAAATTAACCGGTTAAACATGATGTACGAAAAAAAAATTTGTCTTAAATTCCAGTTAACACAGAAAACAATATATTCCTTACACCAGCAGTGGTTTGCTAATTTTGATGACCATGGTGATGCATCAAACTATTCTGTCATCGTAGATAATCAATATTTTTTTATTTCAATTTAATCATCTATTTATGCCACACCTGCCATCCTCTGAAAGGTTATTGTTAGAAAAGCATTAACAATATATTATCTTGTTAAAATTTTACGCCATAAAAATTGATTTTTTCTCATAATTTTAGATGACAATAATAAAAATAAAAGCATTATTTAATTATTTAAAATGCACATGCACATTTTTGCGGTCTACAAAAACAAATTATTTTAGACTTACAGCTGTTAATAATTAAGAACACAACGTGAACAGCCGTGTTACAAATTAGCATTCACCCCTCCTTTCATCCCGAACCGAAAACCGGCATCTATCTACGAAAATATTTCTATCTATTCATTGTTAAGAAACTCAGAAAAAATAATAATAAATAAGAGAATAATAATATAAATCTGCAAATGCGAACAACGAAACAAGCGAATGGGATAAATCCGATGGGTTACCAAGTTTGAACTATTATCGCCAAAGTTGTCAATGTTTACATTTACCGGGTTCTCTGCGGAAGTGCTTCCCATCATTTTATAAAAATATTATATATATAATTAAAAAGCTAGAAGAAAGTGCCCACATAATTCTAATAAATTGAATAACACTATCTAATGTTATTGAATCTAATGTTACTGTCACCAGTGGTGACAGTAACATTAGATAAAAATATTCAAGAAGCTATATAGTGGTTTGAATTAAATATATTGGCAGTTTCTTCATTGAAAAGATTGGAAAAACACAGTTTCAAGACCATTTAGGGTTTAATCCTCTTATCCGGTGCACACGGGATTTGGCTACTTTTGGCGACTTTCCAATTTAGAGTTGCATCTACTGAAAGGAAAGAATGAAACTAATCTCTCAGCTTTCATGTCATGGCCATATAAGATGAAGCATCAATGTATTTTTCGCAATTTTAAATCATGTCGGTTGTAGGAAATACTTCAAAATGTAAATATGATTAACTGCTATATTACACTGAAAAGAATGACATACTGATTTTCAATTATTTCGCCAGATTCTCATAGCAAAGCACTATAATTAAATACATAACAATGCATCGAAAGAAGTCATATATTGAAGAAGTAATTCGGCACTCTTAACAAACAGTACACTTTTAAGGCAGTTATAAGAAATACGCAATTCAACTCAACACAAAAGAAAGAAGTGCATGGCACACATCATACTTCATTTCAAATACATGAATTCAAAACGCAAAGCGAAACTTACTTTTTTTGTTTTAGATAAATTATATAAATAAAAATTAATGCACAGAAATTACAGTGCGTAACCAGAAATACATGTTACCGATGAAAATTATGAAATAATAGTAATATACAGAATAAAGCAACTCTCTTTCACTTCAGATAACACAATTAATGCTAAAAAAACTAAACAACCCTGCATTTACCTCATATACGGCGGTAAACTTAATATCGGTGTTGCCAACTTCAGAAATGTAATTTTATACATTTGGTCAATGTTTAAAGAAAGTGGTTAGGACAAAGAATATGTATAACCAGCTTCTTATTATAAGAAGAAAAAAGAAAATGTCAAAGTAAAGAAAAGTCTGGTGCTATTTAATCAGCCAGTGCCGATTGTGAAGCAAGGCCTCTATCCAGGAGTAATTATGAACAACAAACTCACTTGGACACAACACACACAGTATGTACGTGACACGGCTGTCAAAATTAAGACACAATAACACGCCGAATAAATACTAATTCACAAGTTAAACAACAAAAATCAGCGTTATATTTACAAAATTTACAGCGGCTGATAAAGTTATGAAATGTCTATACCCTCTAATTGAAAAACACTCAGAATTGGACCTCTCGAGAAGGAGACTTTCGCCGTACCTTTTTAATATTTATACACAACACATCCCTAAAGACCCTTCTGTTCATCTTGCACTCTTTGCCGATGACACCGCCATACTTACTAGAGCCTGCACAGTTATTGCTGTAAGAAACCAACTCCAAAACTATCTCATAAAACTGGAAAAATGGCTGGGCCGCCGCCACTTACTCAGATGTAAAGAAAGTGCAGGTAGTGCAAGATAGGTTCCTTTGTACGATTACAAATTCGCATTTCAATCTGAGTAACAAGTTACTACATGATAATCTGAAAATCGAACCGTTAGATAGGTTCTGACACAAGACAAATGCAAAATTTTTCAACGCTGCCATTGACAGTGAGCATTTGAAATTGTTCAACATTTTTCACTATGTAATCCTTAGCGAAGACAAACTCCTGCAGCCTGTATTATCCTTATCTCAAGCAGCACTCATCCTAGTCAGTAAATAAGTGGGTAACCACCTTACATGACCTGCAAAATCAGAGTTGTGAGCTGACGTAAAATTTTCCACTTACTTCAACATTATGTACATATTTTCTGCCTTGGATGCGTCTCAACGAATCCGATATTTGCTGTTCACGTGACAACTTGTCACCGCTTTCGAAGCAGTACCAACAATAATTCGTTGGTATAGCGTTGAAGCCAGTTTGTTTTACTTGAAATTGTTTGTTTCCTGTGCCGTTGCTGGAAAATGGTCTTATTTTCTGTTCCCTGGAATGTTCCGTAATTTCTTCGTATATTGCTTTCAACACCGCAGATCCAACAGTTTAGGGTTCGTTTCCTGTCACTTCTATTCCGTCTCAAGCACTAACTTGTTAAATCATCTGTTTCATTTTCTTTGCCCTGGAATGTTCTGTAGTTCAGTCGTATACGGCCTTCATTACCACATTTTCAACACTTTACCGTCAGTTTGTTCTCACTTCTGTTCCGTATCAAAGCCTTGACTTGTCTGCATAAATCATCGAAACGAGCCATCACTTGATCCGCTGGCTCGTGAACTTGAGCACTCTTGATTGGATGGCTGTCTCTACGAGTTGCTTGCTGGGCAGCCTCGAATTTCATGACATACACCAGAGTCCTTTTTAAGTCCTTGACATCCACCATTTGTAGAACCTTCTGTATTTCAGGATTCTAGATGCCATCGATAAAGGTACTGTAGGGACAGAATGCCCCTTGTTTTTGTCAATCATTCCAAAAAGGCGAGATCAGACAGCCTTTCAACATCCGTGGTGAATTCCTGGAGTATTTCCGTGGGGTTCGGTTGACGCGATTTTAATTGAAGCCTGCTGTAATCTTTTAAACACATTTTGCTTGCTGTAATCTTTTAAACATATCTCGCCAAAGCGCAGCTCCAACGAGCCGGACAGAGCTTCGAAATCTAGACTTTTCTGGGGGAGTTTGAAGGATATTCTTTGAGTCTGCCCTCAGAGAAGCGGCGAGATGACAAACTAAGGGCTTGTGAATCCCATCCGTTCGCTTCTGCCACTATAGAAAAGTGTGTCTTATATTCTTGCCAAGAAGTCTTCACATCATATGTGGATAACCTGAGAGAGGGATGAGCAGGCATGGGTAAAACTTTAAACCATTATAATTGCTTCCTGCTGTCGCTATGCAGCTCTTTAATGTGTCAAATTCTTTGGCGATGACAACAGAAACCCTGTCTTCAATTTGTTGTTGGATTTGTCTTTGACGGCAGAAACTCTTTCTTCAATTTGTTATTCGATTTTTTGTTGGACGGCCGAAACTCTTCCTTCGGTTTGTTCTTTCACAGAAGAAACTCTTTCTTCAATATGTCCAACTTTATTTTCAACAGCGTCTATTCTGCTTTCCATAGCTATAAAATTTGTTTTCTATTATTCAGGTATCTTCTTTTGTATTTTCTCTTGACCTGCTTCAGTCTTCCTTGAACGGCTTTTTTGAACGGCGTCCATTTCTTCTTTAACTAATTTTTGACCAGCTTCCATCTTTTGTCGAACGGCTTCCACCTCTTCAACTGATTCTTGATCAGCTTCCATCATTTCTTGAAACGCAGCAAAGGCTGCCACAACTGCCTTAATTGCTCTTCCATCGTTCTTGTCAATGGCATTCAACCCCAGTCCTGACACCAAAAAGTGTTGCGTGCGTATGGATTTGTAATACTAGATTGAATGCTTAAGTCCAATAAAATGTTAATAAAATTTATCCTTATCAAAAATCGCTGGAATTTTCCTCAGAGATATTCGTACAAGTGGTCAAAATATCAGGCAGTAATAATCAGTAGAGCGCAAATCACAGCGCATATAAAGAGAAAGCTAATCTGATCTCACCGTGAATTCGCAACCATAACAACAGCAGCTAAACAACTGAGCTGAGAAAAGGCCAATGATTAATTCTAAACGATGCACCTCCACATCATAAAAATATATAAGTAGTGAGCAGAAATAGGAAAATTACATAACGAAAAATTACATAAGTTTGATGCAAGCTAGAGGGAGCCACATTTTTTCCTATACCTAAACTCAGGAAAAAATCATTTAGTCAAAAGTTTTGATTTTCTTTCGTATTTTTAATTTTTAATTTTTTTATTTCATTTTATATTTTTATGGCATAGATAAAACACAAAAGCAAAAAGCGAAGAGGAAAGGTTTCAGAAATTAAGAGGCACATTAGCATGTGGCGCTAAAACATAATGTAATAAAGTTTGTCAAAACGCGAGGAAATATCCAAAGCAGAAAATAATTCTGCGGGCCTGATATGATTTTTAAAGGAACAGATTGATAACAGTGTGAAGAAGGCCACTTTTCAGTTGAAATTGAGTAGAAGAGAGCAATTTGGCATAGTCAGTGAGGAATAGCAATTTTAGAAGATAGAGACGTCCGCCCTTCACGGCGCGGGGGCTGGAACTGAAAAGGCGGGATCGTGTCTACGCCCTTTAACAGGAGGATAGATCTCGGCCGATGTTTTTGTGAACTTGGAATACCAGGATCGTACTGAGCTGAACTGTCTTTCTCCGGCTTTAAATAGTTTTTAACAGGGCGCGCGAGATAGTTCTAGCATTTTTTGCTTCTCGAGATTTCTGGAAACCAAGAACAGGATGGAATTACGGTCACAGCTAACATAGTGGTCAATTGCATTTATTCAATTTCAATTCAAATTACTGAGATATCCATTTATTAAATGTTAAATGCACGAATGCACGTACTCCTGTATTTTTATTTTTCCAGCATAGCTTTCTCCTGATATTTGTCTCGCGCATTTAATCGTCTAATATATATAACAATTTTAATTCTAATTCTACTAAAAATGTCTAACTAAATACAAAATTCGTAACAGTATAAAAACAATTTATATGTTATTATATTCATGTTCAAATATTCATGCTCTTGGAGAATTAAGAATTTGAATTAGGGAATGTCTTAGAAAGTTGTTATGTGCTCACAACCTTCTAAGACACTCCCTAATGATATCCCCCTTTCAACAAATGATATATAATTATTAATTGTAATACACCTTAATTTTTAATTATTTATGTTTATTGTATCAAATTTTTAATTCTTTGTTATTACATTTTTAGTATATTAAAAAATATATTTTCAGTTTTAAACATTTTTTGGCCTTTTGGGGTGCTTAGTATTTGTTATTATATGCTTCGTCTGTTATTGCTTAAAGTCATATTTCTGAAAATTCTTGATTACTTTAATAATTTCCAGTTTCAACGAGCTCATTTAGAAATTCTATCACAAAATTATTTAAAGGCCCATATTACCCACTTACCTTGTTTTTATGAAGGAGAATCAAGGTTATGAGGAATTACAAAGTGATATTGAGTCCCCTAAAATGTGGGATTTTAGTGAAATGTGGAAACAGATTTCCAAACAGTTTCTCAGATCAAATTATCAATACATTTTTGCAGTGAAATGTAAAATATATAGAAATAGTACTTACGTATTACTCCATTTGTCGAAAGTCTCGGAACTCAGCATAAATTATTCAATTGACTAGCGATATTTCGTAACTCTCTGTGCAGATAAATTGCATCGTGAAATAGATTTGGAGCTACTCAATACGCTCAGAGTTTGAAGCAAAAATGCATAATAATATTTATTACATTCCTTTTTCTAATGTGTGACTGTATTTTTTGCCATATCTTTGCGAACAGATTCAATTTATTGTTTATATTTATCCATTTACTCTGTAATTCTATCGTTATAGTTTATTTCATGAGGATAAAGAAATAGATTAAATGAATACTAAATTTATAATATGAAAAACGATTGCAAATACACTTGTTCCTTTTAAAATATACTTAATTTTTGAAAAAATAAAGCAATTTATTGATTTGGCGTACACAGATTTTACAAAATGAAAATAATGTAGCTGAGTTTGAGAAAATGAAACAGAAAGGGAAAATTCAAAGAAGGTAATATTTCATAGATTCATGAGTTTTAATTTTTCGAATAAAGCTACCGCTTCTTTGCACTCTTCATCATATACTCGACCCACTAAAAACTTCTTTCGGGGCACATATCCAGTGTAACCTGGAACCATGTTTCTGCAATACCTGTTATTTTCAGCTGTTACTTCATGTTTCCAAGTCATGGCTTCTTCCTCCAGTTTCCTTTGCAGTTCTAGGCTGTTATCGAGCAAATTCCCTAGTCGTAGACCTGCTACAGGATGTTCTTTCATAAGCTCATGGGTCATCATTCCGTAAGTTTTCGCAAACTGAAAAAGTCGTTTCGGACCATACCCAGGCAAGAAACCGGTGTATCCAGGTCTGCATGATGGTTCTGGAGTTTGAAACCAATATTTAGTTTTGTATTTTTCCGGGACAGGCATATTAATAAAAAATATCAAACAAGTAATTTAAAATAATGTTCCATCAAATAATTAAAACTGATCTCTTTGAAGCTAACGCCGCACGTAATTCGTGGCACATAATGTTTTACAACACGTAGCAAAAAAGAGTAATAAGAATTAAAAAAATGCGTGAGATATACTGAAAGCTGAGTAAGAGAAAGTTATAAAAACGGAACTGTAGCTTCGGTCTATTTTTAGACAGTCTCCAGAAATATTTACTTACTTAAATATTTCCTCGATTTCTTAAACTGTATCCAAAACAATACATTTGTTATTAATAAATTTAAGTTTGTAGATGACCCTGCTATTACGAAAGCAGATTTATTAGTTCAATCACGTGACTACTCGTTCCTTGGAATCGAGAGTTGATGTTCTATTTATGTTTTAGCTGGATTCGCAACGCAACTTTTTTTTTTTTTTTTTTTTTTTTTTCTTTTTGGCCTGAAAATAAAATCGCATTTCAATACAGTCCATTGCTTGTTATTAATCCGCATCGTATTGCCATATTTAACACTATACTGGTATGGGAAAAATGCGAATTAAATGCAAGAAACTCTCAGCACTAGGAGATAGTTAAAATACATGAAACTGGTAACATACACTTCAGTTTTAATGTTAATATGAGAAATGTGAAGAGGTTCGTTTGTTTTCGGTCATACTTTAAACAGAGTACAATAACTTAAACAAAGTACAATAACTAGTGTATTTGTTGATTGGGCTACTCAAATACTACTTGCCTAACAATTATTTTTTTTTTTATTTCAAAAATTTAAACTTGTATTCCTTGCAGAACATTATTGCAATTAAACATGAAAACTGCGTATAATATACAAGTTAATTAACTTTGGGGCATATTAATTTGTTGAATAATTTGAAATTTGTTGAATAGTTTTTCGTGTGTGTGTGATTATGGCAAAGTCTCGAGGGCTATCTTCCTAACGGGATGGATGCCTTCGTGGAGGACTTTCTAAGGAAAACTGGCTCGTATACACGTTACACATAGGGAAAACCACGAAAACGCCCATGCAGCCAGTCCGTTCGCGGGATTCGAACCTCGGACCGAACTACCAGTGTTCAGCGACTTTACCGCTCGGCCGTTGGTGGGTTTATAGTTCTTCGATTTTTAATATTCCCTGATGGATTCTTAACAGATGATTCATTAAAATGAATTCATTACTCATACCGAAATGCTTTAATTTTTCAAAATTAAACCATCAGTTACGCAAATAAAAACAGGTACTTTTTTTTAAAAAACCTCAAATTCTAAAAACTCAGAAGAGTAGAATACTCGAAAATTAGATCAAGAAATCGCAGCTGGAGATGTCATTACTATTATTTTCGCTTGGTTGTCAATTTTTTTTTAACGTTTCAGATCTTTACTGTCACTTCTCCATTCCGTTTTCCTACCAGAATGCAAATCAGGTGTATTGAAGGTGTGGCTCTTGAACTGTAAGACAGAGCGTGTTTCTGCCTCTCGAGGCCACATTACTAGGTTTCGCTAGCTCAGATTAGATTTATTTCTTCGGCTTTGCATTATAGTTGCCGATATTTAAATTGATACGGCGGTGAGAAGTTTGAGCCAAGTTCGCCTTAAATCAATTGTGCAGCCTTTGTCTACTAGACTTGGTTTCAAGTCTTGAAATTGTTATTTTAAGTTACATTGTCTTGAGTGGTTGGCTGATTTATTAAGCACGAGACGTGCATTTATGTTCCAATTCCGATTTAATAAAAAAGTTGGTTTTAAAACCTTTTTAAGACATTCGTAGTTGTTTTCAGACTAAACGATAATTCGCTCTAAGTCTATTAGCAGTTTGGACTTTGTTATGTTACCAATAAACACTCAACTCTATATTGGCGCCAGAGCAAAATCTGGCCTAAATCTCGGAAGATAACTCAATTTTTAATTCACCTCCTCCCTCAAGATCACAGGCTTAACGGGCACCAGCAAATCCCATGGGAAGTTTTGGGTGCATCATAGACTCAATAAAACCCACAGTAACTTTTAATGGCAGATGTTTTAGAAGTGAACTTTTTGTAACAAGCTGATGCTCATTTGATAGACAAATACTGAGGTTGTTTTTGGATTGAGAGGCCAAAAGTTAATCGAAAACAAGTGACAGATCTAAGGCAACAAATTGCTGTTCCCCAGTGTAATAGTTGAAGTGTAATTTAAAATAGAATAATGAACTGATAATGGATTCACTTTTATTTCTATTGAAAAGAGTGTGGAAGCAAGGGTCCCAAGAAAATGTTTAATCTCATTCTTGTCTCGCTTCTCAAAATTTTCAATTTGGAGAGTCAGTTCTTTTGGTACATATAGTTCAGTTTCTGTTCTTTTGAATATTAGAAGATAACGTGAGAAACTAATTTACTCTATTTATTTCGGTGCAGTACTTTGCATAGTGCTCTGCTGTTTTTCAAAATTCATTTTACAAATTCACTAGTTACTTCTATGCGTGGTACCTAGTGTTACATTACAATTAATGCCGTACTTTCATTTCCTAAAACCAGGTTCTAGTTTGTAAGATCCTCTACTGTGTACTTCTAAGTTACAGTTGAATGTGAAGAATCTGAAGAATTAGTATACTTCTAAGTTACAGTTGAATGTGAAGAATCTGAAGAATTAGTAAGCGAATAATCGCTTGAGTTCGTGGGGTAGAAAACGACAAGTGAGAAGGGTGAAATAACCCTTTATTATTCCAACTAAAGTTTAACAGAACTCCGTCTTGGAGTTGTACAATAAAGCCGACCCTCAGGCTTGAACTTAGGAAACTAAGAATTAAAACTTAACTAATCTTAACTAAAAATATTTAGCCGAAGCTATCAAAATTCTAAGGGAATTGGCCCCTTAACTCTAATTGACTGCGAAGCTATTAAGGGCCTGAAGCACGGCCGTAATAATAGCTTAAGAGAGAGTAGCCTAAAGAGGCGGCCGCGTGCTAGCCAGAATCTCTGGTTCTCTCTGACTAAGACAGTAGAAATTCGCGGTTAAATACCGCTCTTTCTCAATTTGCATTCGAACGTGATTCTAAAACTACGATCTGGCCGGAAGTGATAAGTTGAAATTAAGAAGCAATAGGGCAGGAATTTTAACTCAAAATTTAGCTGTTAGCTAAATAAATATAATCCTTACAGGTTATATAAAATATGTTTTGAATGAAGTTTTATAATTAAAATAAAATAATTTAAATATAAATTAAAATAAATTTGCAAATGACATATTACTTTTTAATGCTGAACTTTTACATATGCTTCCTTTATGTTAATTCCTGAGATTATTTCGAAATGTTATTTATTGTATTAGTTCTTTTATTGCAGTAAATTAGGTCATGTTTTTACAGTAAGATACGTTTTCTCAAAGTAAACCATTTTTTTTAGCTACAGAAAAATAATTTTTAATTCAGGTTAGGTTAACAGAATATGGCAAAGCCTAGAATGACTGTCTGTCTAAGAGAAGAGATTTTTGGAGGGCCTTTTTTAAAGGAAAAGTACTCGTATTCATGTTCCACATTAAAGAAATCAGGAAAATCAACTATAAATGTATATTTTTATTTCAAGGATTAAGGGAATATAATTATGGTATTATAAGTTTAAATGGATACAAGAATTATTTAAGCCATAATAATATAAAAATGAAAATAAGAAAATAATTTTTTATCCGTACTTATATATGAAGAAATTTAAAATCTCACCTCCGACATAAGATTGCAAATTAATATTAATTCGTGTTTAAAAATACAAGCTACTTCATTTTAAAATAAATTGAACTTCAAACTGTATTTTAACAGGATTTAACTCATTGTAGAAAATTTTATAAATGTAATGAAAATTACAGTAAATCGAAAAATATATTTAAATCACGCCACCAAACTTTATTAGAAGTAATATTTTTATTTTAAATGAATTTATTTCACTTCTGAAAACAAGCTGCTTTATTTATTAAAAATTACATCTAACCAATACTTTTTGCTTTAATGCATCATTTTCAGCAATGGGTAATGAAATAATATTATTTTTTCAGTCGTATTTAAAGAGCTTAGGAAAATTAAGAAAAAGTTCTTTCATAAGGGAATTTAAAATTTTCTCTTTGATAACTTGCGAATTTGCCCATTATGAAACACTGTTTCTTTAAAGAAGTCCTTGCAATCATCTATAGTAGACAAACGGATTTTAAGGGAAAAGACAACTTAGTGGAATCCTTTCTATTGGGATACATCTCGTGTTTTTTTCCCTTTTTAGACACCCCCCGGGGGTCGACGTAGAGAACTCTGCGAAGCTACTGGCTAGGAATATGTACCTAGGCAGTCTCGGCCACGAGAATAAAAAAAATTATGAACTTGGTGGTTTTGAAGGTCCCGGAAAGGTCACTTATTGGCCGGCCCGGTGGTCTGTCCCGTCCTAGCGCGAAGTGGTTCTAGTCATGGAGGTAGGAAGTAAAATGGAGTTGCCTTAAACAAGTTTTCCCTGTACCCTGCTCTGAAGCACCGGCGATCCCTACGTGGTGACCAAAACATTGGGTCATTTACCATTGAGTTCAATGGGATTTTACGCGTTCGGATGTAAATATTTTGTAATTACGTCGTAAATATACATATAACAAATTTGAAAATCTAAACGCGAGCAGTAGCAACACTGTACAGAATAAAACATTATTATCGGTACCACACGAATCGTCAATCGGAAATTCTAAAGATATGCTGTTTTAAAACATTTTGTGATTTTGCTGTTGAAGAATTACACTCTGTCTAAAAAGTTTATAGACTCAACCATATTATGTATTTTTGAAAAATGGAAAGGAACACCAACAGCAAATAAAAAAATGTTTATTTACATCATATGCGTCTTGCATTCCAGTAAGTAATTCAACTAAAATAGCAATTTGTATTTTAGAAAAAATAAAAACACAGAAGAATATACCTTCCAAAGGTTTATAGAACAGTAGCATTTTAACAACTTGTGATCAATTTCAAATTACTTAATACTTTAAAGTCGCCTCATTATTCT